CAGGGTCCCATTCCTACCTTGCCCCGCAGTGGTCAGTATCCCAGTAACCTCATCCAGCGACTAGTTTAGACTCTCTCCTGGGCCCCCTACCTCCTCCTTCCCCTGCCGTGGTCAGTATCCCAGTAACCTTGTCCAGTGGCTAGTTCAGACTCTCCAGGGTCCCCTTCTTACCTTCCCCCGCAGTGGTCAGTATTCCAGTAACCTCGTCCAGCAGCTAGTTCAGACTCTCCAGGGTCCCCTTCCTCCTCCTTCCCTCACAGTGGTCCATACCCCTGTAACCTTCTGCCTCGTTGACCGACCCTCGCAGTGTCTCTGAGAGGAAGGCGATTTGCTGTGTACGTAGATTAGAACGTAACAACACCAGTGATCTCTTAGTGGCCACCATGTGTCAGAGCACCTTCTGCTCCTCGCTGCGAGAGGAGCTGCGTGTTAACCCTGGGGACTTCACGCAGCTCTGCCAGTGCTGTAGGTGATGGGATGCTCTCACCTACTGTAAGCACCGGGAAATACAATGCTGGCTGTAAAGTCTGATGTTCATAAAACGCTAAGGGCACTTCTGGTCAAACAGAGGCTCCCCCCCCCCCACCAGCTTCTCTTTGGCCACCGTGATGCGTGTCTTCAGATGTTTTTCTGTTTTTGCAGTTAGATTATCTTTTTATTATTGAGTCGTAAAAAGTCTTTACATATAACCTGTGTGCATGTGCTTTGAAGGTAGATGTTTCACAAGAGGTAGGGGTGCGGGGGGCTCCATGAAGATGTAGGGGTGTACAGGGGCTCCGTCATGAGGAGGTAGGGGTGCACAGAGCTACGTCACGAGGTAGGGGTACTCAGGGCTACATCACGAGGATGTGATGCTCCAGGCTGCGCAGGTGCGCTCGCTCCGGGCTGTGTGGGTGCTCTCGCCACAGGCTGTGCAGGTGCACTCTCTGTGGCCTGTGCGGGTGTGCCTGCTGCAGGCTCTATGGGTGTGCTCGCTGCGGGCTGTGCGGACGTCTTCCCTCGGGGCTGTGCGGGCATCCGCTCTCTGGGCTGTGCATGTGTCGTTGCTCGGCTGTTCTGGTGCCCTTAGTACTGAGAACAAAACTTTACGCTCTGATGACGGGCGCATCTACAAGTCTTTTCTTGGGGTGGTGGATGGGGATGGATCCCTTTTTGCCCACCGTCTTCATGGCCCTGTCTGAGTCGTGCGAGTGCTGGGATTCACGTTGGGGTGATGTCTGGCCAATGAGGTTCTGCTCTGCTTTGCTGCTGTGTACGCTAATGTCTGTGTCGCTTCTGGGATAAGCGTCCTGAAAGCATCTTGGGCTCACAAGCAGGACTTTTGTGCCTTGGCTTTGTGCCAGCCACACCCAACGTGGGCACAGGTGGGGTCTGCTTGCTCAGGACGTCTTTCCTTTGCGGTGGGAAGGGAGGGGGAGGCGCCTGGGAGGGTTAACTCATCCTCATTCAATCCCGGAACCCACTGCTTGGAGCCACCCCATGTGCTCTGCAGGACCAGTCACTACAGTCCGGTCCGCGTTACCCACAGGGCACTTACGTATGCCATCTGCAGAGCCTGGTGCTCTGCTCCTTGGCCTTCCTTACCTGTCTTCTGTGACGTCCTGCGTTCTGTACGTTGTATCCTGTGTTGTTACTTTCTGTGGTTACTCTCACCCCTGCACAGCTGACGTTACATTGTATCTCACACACCTGACCAGTGACATTTTACCTTGTTGCTTACATCCTGTGTAAGCTCAGTTACCCGATCTAAGTTATATGCCGTGTTCTCTACTTTGTGCAGAATGGCAGGAAAACTCTGAAACCCCGAATACTCCCCCACCCGCCCTTGTGACAAGAAAACATGTGAGGACTCTGTGTGCTTTACTGTGTCTCGTCTTCGGTGCCGGGAGGGCGGCTGGTGCTCGCGGACCCCTTTGTTTTTGGTGCGGTTTCAGGAGGAAGCAGCGGCTTTGGCTGCATCTGGGCTTGTGGGGACCAGCAGGGATCTGGCGAGAGCTCCGTGACAGGTTCTCTTGTGTCCCGGACAGACTTCCCTTCTGTGCAGAGCGCCTCCTCTCGTCCCTCCCCGCCTCTGCTAACTAACTAGCAGGCAGTTGCTCAGATCACTTCAGTTCTCTGGAGCACGCTTCTGTCCCCCCCCCCCCCCGGCAGAACTAGAGGCGCCGTCCCCAGATGTCTCCTTGCAGACCTGTTTACGCGCTTGTCCCTCTGGACTGAGCCACAAGACGGGGTCACTGAGCGGGGAGCTGTGTCCAGGACTCCCA